CGGTATTTATGGGCAGCGATTATAAGAACTCTTTCAGCTCTGGCCAGCGTCCAGGGTGATTGTAATATGTCAACAACGAGCGTCTATGACAGCATAGCACTCAAAAAATGGAAATCGAAGCTACCAAAAAACATTCCGTAATGGTTTCTTGAAGCCGTGTTCATACGTGGTAGAGGGAGGAAAAAACCGCGCCAAACAAAAAACAAACAAAAACCAATGACACGGCAACAAACTTTAGTACGCATTCACGTGGCCATTAGGGGGCTCACCAAATGCAATATAAGCGTCATCCGTATTTGTTTCTTTTAAGCGACCCCTTACCAGGGTTGCCGCGCTGCCTGCGAAGGCGCCGGTACACCTCACTGGGTGCACGCGGGGACCGAAACAAGCTCTCTAAAGGCGAGATGCACCATAAAGGGGTGGCATGCCTCACTAACTCCAGGCTGCCCCTAGTGGAAACTGTAGCAAACAACTTGAAGCAATGGGAACACAAAAACAAAACAAAACAAGGACCGAGGGCATTCGTGGTCAGCCTCGAAGCTGTTGGGCTGCAGCGGAAGCAAGAAGTGGTCGCACATGCAGAAGCCAATGTAATGGCGTTGTTTGGCAGTTTGCGTTGGAATGATTTGTTTTTTCGTCTGTTCCAATTTAAAACCCTTCTGTGCCCACCGTGTACACTGAAGATATATATATATACATAAAAAAAAAAAGAACTTGTTGATAGGGGAATGAGGGGGGAAGGTTAGGGTAGGAAAATCCGAAACGACGTGGTAAGCAGTAAAACAGCTCGGAGGAGCCAAGGGAGGCATAATGTAGCGGATAAATCTGCATCTTCGAGGATTGCCTCAAACGGAGCAGAAGGCTCGAACGTTGCTTCGAAGGAGGACGTCCCCATAAACAAGCGCTTTCGGTTGTGCGCGTCGAGTTGTAGTGGCGACGGCAGAGCTTGCTGTTGTTGTGATTGTGGCGAACCACGACTTACAAGGGGGGGGGGGGGGGGGGGGGATCCTGGGTCGGGTTGGGAGAAGAGGATGTTGGGAGGAGCACGTACGGGGGAGAAAGAAAGGGGTGTTGGGGGAGGACAACGGTTGTCATTTTACGTGTTCACAACCTCGAAACTGCTTTTCCTTCGTAAAACCATTATTTTTTTTTCCGCTTGCTTGTTTGCAAACAGAGCTACGCTCCGTTTCTTTTTACGTTGGACTGCGGAGGACGCTACGAGCCATCGGAACCAATCTAATGCCGTGTGAGGTTCACGTCACCTTTGGAAGGGACGCAGCGAAGCACGAGGCGCGTGGTCACGTGATACGTTCACATGCGCTGGATTGACTGTTACGACTTGTAGGGTCCGTAGCGGTCCATTGTAAGTTTAGGCGGAATATGGCCTGCATGGGTTCGCACGCCGGACGGGCGGGCGACATCCACGCGCTGTTGGCGGCAGCGTCTCGTTCCTCGTCGGCGTTGCTTCCTTTCTTCGCGGAAAGGGGCTTACGAAGCTCGTAAACGGGAGGGCGCGGAGAAGGCTAGCAGAGAGGACGACAGACGGACCACAGTATTCGGCACTGACGCAATAAAACGTGGCAAAATCGGGTTGGCGGTGGGGAAGTGTGTGTGTGTGTGGGGGGGGGGGGGGGGGGGGGGCGGATCGAGCGGAAGGGGCCCGCCACGGCACTTTGTCTCCTGGACCCTCTCTTGTTTGTGTATGTGTGCGTGTGTGTGTATCGCGGCTAGTTCTTTTCGGAGGCTATTTGATTTGTTTTTATCGATGTCGTTTGTCTGGGGTTTTTTGCTCGGTATCCCTTTTACCGTGGCTCACCCTTTGTTTTACGAGAGACCAAAGGAGGGAGCCCGGCTGGCTGCGGGGATGTAAAACAAAGCTGGCCAAACGTGACAGGACGCTTTTGTCGCTGTTGCTTGCTGCTTTAGTTGCTTTTGGTTCGTATGTCCGCTGCCCCTCGCTGTGTGCGCAACGGAGGCTCCATCTAGGGGCACATTTTGGCGGCGAGCGGCGCCTCACGCGAACCGCGGTCCACTTCGGTGCGCTACGTGTTATGGCGTGAGGTATTCGTGCAAGAACATCGAGAAATTGCTTTGTTTATTTTTTTCCCCCTTTTGTACCTCCTTTCTATCATCGCGCCTATTCCTTATATTGTTTATATGTATTATTTCTCTATCGTTCCGTCGAGTGGTATTGGTTCGTTTGAACGCGCCGCTGCCAGAGCGAAACCCTGAGTGTCTTTGTGGGCGTCTGTGCAAACTGTTTTGTATGATTTTTTTTTTTTTTTTGTGGCTGTCCGTTTTGTACGTGGCCCGTAGTTTTGAGTGGCCTCAAGGAGCGCACAAAGGCACCAGAAAGGGCAGCAACGCAGTTTTATTTCAAGCACGCGGCGGTCAGCCCGACCGAAGGGTTCCCCAAGCCACAAGACAGGGCTTCCCGTTCCCGAGAATAGAGGAAAGGCGGAAGGGAGCGCCAAAGCGGGAGGGCGTTTGTTGTAAACAATAAAACGTGCGGGCGTGACGCAAACAAGAATGAGTTTTGGTGCTGTGGATGAGGGCCGCCCGCTCGCCATTGCCCCGGTTCTTGTGGCCTCACTCATTGAGTTTCCTGTATTTTTTTTTTCTTCTTCTTTTCTTTTCTGTTTAAGGGAAGGCCAAAAGGGGAAGGGGTGGGAGACGCCGTTGGCGTCGTATTTTTCGAGAACGACCGGGCCGCTGGCCGTCTAACGTTCGAGTCCGACGTGAGGCGCGCAGCGCGTTCAAAGTTTACGAGCTGCCGAGCGAGCCGCCGCGGCCAAATGGGGCCCCGAAGATTTGTGGCGTTCGGCGACGCTGTTCTTTTGGAAAATGCGGCTGCGCGCTGTTCTCCCCCCCCCCCCCCCCTAAAAAAAAAAAAAAAAAAGAGAAAAAAAAACTGGGAAAACGAAGAACAATGTTTGGAAGAGTGGGCTCAAACTCCTCTGACCCAAGGTTTAGACGACGGACAAGCAATCTAAGTTCGCAATATCGGTCATGTGGTTACCATCCTAAGCACATTTTATGCCTTGGGAATCGAAAAACGTTTGCTTGTGAGATACGATCGTCAAGGAAGTGTATACCATTACAATAACTGTAGGTGTATAAAAGAGTTATTGTTTGCAGTCAAGTTGGTCAATTCTTTTACTATATTGTTGTCTTAATTTTGTATGCAGGTGTAAAGTCCCGGGACTCGGGAGTGTTTTTGGAACGGAGACGTACCGCTCATTCACACTGGAAGCGGATCCGCGTTCGCAAAGCGGTTGCAAACGCGTTTGTATAAAGATCCAGTACTATTGCACGCGCAGGTGATGACATCGAGTGCGCGTGCAATTGTACTGGATCTTTACACAACCGCGTTCGCAACCGCTTTGCGAACGCGGATCCGCTTCCAGTGTGTATGAGCGGTTAGGGAGGGCGCGGACGGAAATGTGAATTTATGATCCGTGTTGGCCACAGTGAAAGAAACAGGGCCGCCGAGCTGTAATGTCCCGGATAAAGACGTCGGCAGGAGCATGGCTGCGCTAAAGCGGCCCGACTTTGTAAAGTCGAAAAGTGCCTGAAGCGGGACTCGGAGCTTCGGGGATGTCTTCGACTGTGGAAGCCAGTTACCGCAAAGTCCAAACAAGGGAGCCGGCGCCATGGAAAGACAAACATCTCTGGGGCTCTGGGGGTTGTGTTTGTTATGCGGAAATTGTCTTGGTGGTTTTCGCTTTTGGGGACTAGAAAGCCCTACGTAGGGATGATAGGTAAAGGGAGCGGGATAAAGAGTCCACCGAAAAGGGGGGGGGGGGGGGGGTGAAAGGTGCTGACTCTGAGACGGGAGGTCGAGATCCAGAGGTAGAAAAAGAGACGAGGGGTTTCGGCAGTGCCTGCCTGCCTGAAGAGGAGATGCCTGCGAGACACAAGCCACGTTATCGTGTTTCCCAAGACTACATCTCGTCATTGCAGCAGAATCGTGCTTCCTCCGAGGCAAGAGGCCAGATGACCCCGATTCCCCGAGACCCCTCATCGACACTTTCTGACCCTCCCAGACACGTCTCGTCGACCCTTCGATCATCGTGGAGTACCGGCCTGCTGCGGCCCCGAGACGCACCGCGACCCAAGCCCAACCAGGGTGAGACCGTCCAAGAGGGTGAGCGCCTGCATCAAGCTACCAGTCGGACAATGAAAGTCCGTATCAGAATTTCACTCTCGCAGTGCTTCTCCTCTCCAGGGGAACCCGAAGGTGGTTGAACCGCTACTCCTCTGTAGCAGTCATCACAAAGGGTCCAGCTGGCGTTTTCCTCGTGATAACGATATCGTGAGAAGCATCAACCGGGGTGTAATATCCACACTTCAAGATCTTTAATTTCCGCACTTTTAAGTTGTGCAATGCGCTCTTCAGACGCGGAAATTTGGTGCACTAAGTTTGATTCGCTCCTCGCAGTATTCGCACCCCGAGCGACCTATAAGGGCTGCCGCTTTTGACAAATAGGGCGCCCGAACACAGGTGGTGCCGTGCCATGTGCCGGTTCAGCGCACAACGTCCGGGATAAATTAGGCAAGCGTTGGCTTCAAAATGATCTCTCCCGATATTTCTCCGCAGCATTCAAAACCTACCGCCGTGTGATGGCGTACGCGAGCATCCTGGGGCTTAGCCTTCCTTGTGGAAGCGATAGAACTGCTACTACCTACTGTCCTTACCGCGCTGTTGAACGTCTATAGGTGCACAACGCCTGGTTCACGCGGAATCGTAGATTGCGTTCAGATCGACTCAGGGTCAACACAATGGTACGGCAGCAGCGGCAGAGTCACCGGGAGAACTGTTCGCCCTACACAACATGATAAGCAATACAAGATGCAAATCATTCGTAAGGCCATTACGAGTACCGATTTTTTATGCTGCCCAGTCGTTGCTGCTGGTTTCGGGAACCAACCAACGCAACCTCCTTCGCTTTACTTCGATCCGGTGGCCATGGTGTCAAGCACCGGCAACATGCCATGACCGAAGCCACACAAGAGCTCGTTCATTTCCTGGGATTAAAGCGTGGCCAGGGATCCAGTAGATGTAGAAGCGAAGGGTGGGGGTGGTGTTGAGGGCGGCTCGAAGCTCACGCGACATGTAGTTGGGGAGTTGGTTGTACTGAAATGTGCGAACTGCTTTTTGGGAATCTGTCAGGACAGTGATGGAGGTGTGTCCCTCGTGGGGGTTGGCGATGGCATGGAGAATGGCGGAGCACAACGCCTGAGTCTCCAGGAGGTCTGCCGAAGGCGCTTCGGTGTATGTTTGCCTAAGCGTTGTGTTGGTCTGGGGACAGTGAATTGCGGTGCGGCCGAGTTTGGTGCCACGGTCGTAGCTGGCGTCTGTGTAGTAGATGAGGTGCTGCTGTGCCTGAAGTGTGGCGAGTTTTTGGGATATGAGTTTGGCTCTGTGCTTGCGGCGTTCCGGGTTGCTGTCGGGATTCATATGTTTGGGTATGGGGAGTGCGGTGATTTGGGGTATGGTATCCCAGGGAGGTGTGGTTGTTTCGATGGGAGGGAGGTGCAGGGTGTCGTAACCGAGAGAATTGAGAATGTAGCGACCCTGCAGAGACGTTGTTAGGCGTTGCTGTTGACCCAGTCGGTGCAAGTCGACTCGCTCCTCGAGTGTGTTGAAGGGGTCCATCTGTTGTAAGTGCTCTAGGGGAGCGTACTGTGGCACGCCGAGAGCAAGGCGGGCGGGTTTGCGGAGCTGTGTCTGGAGGTGTTTGAGTTGACGGGCAGTGAGTGGGGTGTAGGGGATATGGTAGAGTACGAGAGAGTAGATGAGAGCTTCGATGGCTCGTCTCACACAAGAGACAAGCAGAAATCGCTATAGGATCTGTTCCGGCCAGTTCAGTGTTCTCGCTGGATGCCGTCCGTTTTAATGGATTCGTAAATACTCTCCAATAAAACCGTGCAACAGACTTTGATATCGAGGTGTTGGCTAGGCAAACTTAAGCCGCAATCGCACTTAATAAAAAAAAGTTTCCTGGTTGCCTCGTTTTAATCACCACAGGCGAGTATGCCTCCCCAAAATATGAGTATACAAAAAATAAATAAATAAAGTATACACTCATTGCCCATTTAGCCTGAGTTCGCACGCTTGCCCAACCAACTGCATGTTTCCGTTGCAAAGGTCCGTGAGAGAAGTCGAACAATACTTGACATGTGCATCTTTCAATAAGACATTTCCTTTTGGCGGAATAATGGAGCTTTAAAGGGGTCATGAAACGATTTTCCTATTTCTTCCTCCATAGCTTTAATCCTAAACTCAAATGCGAATTGTGAAATCACGTGGTCGTGACATTCCTTCGGCACCGGTGCGATGACTCCTAGCTTCCACCGTGCTTTTTATGCACACCATAAAACTTGTCATTCCCCAGTGACAATAAGTTCCGTCAGGGCACTCATTGGCCACGACCGCGAATCCAAATATTCGTCGACGGATTGATTGTTGACGAGCGCATACGTCCGAGTGACGCAGTTCTCGTGTCCAATGCGTGAGCTGGGCTCTGCTGACGTCAGTTTGGCGCCGGTGACGCGCTTTTGGAACCGCGGATGTATCACAGTGAAAAGGTGGAGAGCTTTCGAAGGCAAGAAGGTACAAAATAGTCCGCTATATCTTCAAATGTTCGTACCGAAAAGCTGGCTTTTGACTTTCTAGCCTCTTTCTTTTGGCCAACTAAACGATATGCGATTAGTAAAGTCCCAATTTAAAATCATTCATCCCAACCCGAAATTCGTTTCATGGCCCCTTTAAATGCGCGAGTGTTGAGCAATACAAAAAATAGTGTGCGGAGTCGCATTAAAAGTGGTCTTCAACATTTTTGCTCCTGTTCTCTTTTATTTATCCTATGACCACTCAAAAATGATTTTGTTCACTTAGCTAAATATGTTTTTTTGTTTTTTTTTTTTAATTAATAGTTATTTTTTTTTACTCAGAGGGCACGCATCTTCCTGTTTCTCAGTCTGAACATTCGTGGCAGCTTTAGCCGACCGTGTTTTCGTAAAACGTTACTGGTACCGGGAGCCTGGGCCGCCACTTAGAAGCATGCTTTGAAGCGTTCACCTGAAGCTTTATCGGGGGGTCTTTGAGAACAATAGGTTAAAACTCCTTATTAATGGTTTACAGCGATAGCTGTAATGGGCTCTTCCTACCACCATGGAAATGACGCCCGCTGTTGATGTTGTAGTTGTAGTAGTGGTCGTTGTTGATGTTTTGTACTTGGCGGTTTGGGGCGTCCGTCGTCGATGCGAAAAAGATCTCCCGTCTCCACCGGGAATCGAACCCGGGTCCCCTGCGTTTGAAGCGGAGGCGTTACCAATGAATTACGCCACAGCGTTATTAGAGAGTTTTAGTATATTTTACTCTGCAGAAAGCGGGCCCATCGGGCGCGTGCTCAATAGACCCTTTTCAAAAGTCAGAGTCCTCTTGTGGCAGTCCGAAAAGCTCCACTATTGCCGCTCTAATGGCGGTGATAGGAGATCATGCACGGCTAAATCAAGCACCCTCGATTTCGTGCATCGAAGGTGACGTGAAACGACCAACATCTTTTCCTTCTTCTGCTGTGTGCTTTCGAAGACGTTCGATTTTTCTGGTGTGGAGAAACAGTGTAGTTCCGCCATTAGAGCGTCGGGTCTGGCTCTGCACAAGGTGGGTAGACTGACTTTCGTAAAGGGTCTATCCATGCTTCTAAGTGACGGCACGAGCTCCCGCTAGCAGAGCGTAGCTCTGAATTCGAACTATAAAAATTGTCTAATAAATTGCTCTATTGGCGACGTGTGCGATCGAAAGCGTCGCCGTAGTAGGCCTTCTACGGTTGGTCCGGGCTGACTATGACATCAGCAAAGGATTTCTCTCACTGACGAAAATAAAAGTAATGTAAGAACTTGAATTTTGACGGTGTTGGTCGGGCGCGTGCTCAATTCATGCTTCAAAGTGACGGCGCGAGTTCCCGCTAGCAGAGAGTAGCTCTGACTTCGAACTACAAAAATTTTCTAATAAATAGACCGATCTCACCAGCCCGTTTGACTACGCCGCCGCTGCCGCGAAGCATCGAGGGAACTTTAGTCTTTTGCACGTGCGATAACCTCGCTGGAGCACTGCGCGTTCAAAGCACGAGAAGGCGCGAGCCCTGGCGTGCACGGCCCTCTGCCTCCTGAGAACTAAAGTTATGGCGGCGTCACGGATGTGCCGAACGCTTAGTGAGATCGGTCTATTGCTCTATTAACGACGTGTGCGATCGAAAGCGTCGCCGTAGTAGGCCTTCTACGATTGGTCCAGGCTGACTATGACGTCAGCAAAGAATTTCTCACTGATGAAAATAAGAGTAATGGTAAGAACTTGAGTTTTGACGGTGTTGGCAGTGTTACTTTGAGAGCGCTCTGATTTCAAGCTTCCACCATGCTCATTACGAACCCCATCGAACTTGTTGTTCCCAAGGTAATGACGTCACGAGAGGGAACCATAGGAGGGCGCCACCAAAACGTCTCGTCGCTAAAAGGCGATTGCAAGCAACGCGACCGGCCGCCGCTATGTCTCTGTTCGTATGGACAAACCCGTGCAATTGCAAGCTTACCCAAGCTACGCGCAAGCGGCACGTGTTGGACGCGTGGGACACATGCAGTCGCGGCACCATGCTTCCATTCACTGGCGGCCATTTCCGTGTGCGCTGCTGCTGAGCGCGTGCTGACGGCGAGCTTCCGCACTCCTTTCGGAGCGTGCATTTAGCACCATCAAGGTTGCCGGTCTTAGCAGGCTATTAATGTGAGCTTGTTCTGAGCATGCGCTCTAAACATGGCCCTCAAATATGACGTCCAGGAAATTCTCGGGACGCCATATTTGAGAGCGATGTTTAGAGCGCATACTCAGTGCGAGCTCATATTCTAGACTTCTAAGACCGGTAATCTTGATGGTGCTGAATGCACGTTGAAAAAGAACTGTAGAAGCTTGCCGTCAGCACGTGCTCAGCAGTCGCTCGCACACAGCTACGGCCGCCAGTAAAGACCTTTCCAAAATAGGGCTCCTGGTCGGTTCCACTTTCAGTGTTCGTGCGTATGGTGTGTGATTTGCTCGTTTTCCGAAGCGACGAACATGCGCCTGCTGGGCTGGGGAGGTCGCACGCTGGGCAGAGGACTTGCAAATATTGGAATGGTGTACACTTCTCGTTTTTTGTAGTACCAGATGCCCACTGCACGCTCTGACTGCAAAAAAAAAAATAATAATAATAAAAATAGCCCATAACTAAATGTCGTTGTAGCATTGTCAATGGCAAAGAAACGCGTTTTCACGCACTCCAGGGAAAGAAAAAAGCGTTCCGAACAAAATGAAACAAAACAAGATCTCTCGAAACAAAACATATGTTTATTTCTTTCCCAAAGGCTTTTGTTCACGCTCCCCATGGTGCGTGAACGCAACGCAGATACCCAGTGACTTCGCCGTGAGACGTGCCACAGCTATTGCTGTTACTGTATGCTGTATACATTAACATGTGAGCGGGAACGCTACAGGCCCCTACGCACAGTTTTGTTTGAAAGCGTTTGAGTTCGTTTGGCTGCGTTGTGGCTGCGGGAAACCAAGATATCCCTGGTTCTTACGTCGCGGGCCAAGCTATATTCCTTGAATTGGATTCCACCCTTCACACGGACCACAGATATACCGGTTACTCGCTTTCGTTTCTGGACGCAATGCAAGCAAACACACTCGAGCGCTCTCAAATACAAATGTGCGTAGGTGCCTTACAAAAACAAACAAAAAAACAAACAAAGGGAACCAAGAGACACGATTGAGCTGATTTCGATAAAATCTGAAGTGAAATACTGGGCTTTCGAGAGTAAAAAAATGGCCGTGTTTTTCGGCCCGCGAAAATCATCTATGCGTCGCACAAATCTCAAACTCGTAACAATGTGATCCTAGTGGTTGTGATATAGCCGGCACTGGCAAGGCGGCGCCACGAGAGTGCTGCATTCAGCGCCACTAGCGGAGACGTGTGTTAATGGGGCGGCCATGCAGTCTGCCTGTCGGGACGTGGCGAGCGGCGGCGACCCCGATTTCAGCAGTCCCCATGTGCACGTGCGCACCATGTCCCTAATTCCTTTATGCGTTTTCTTTTTTTTAAGACCATCAAGAGCGATAGGTCGAAATGTTTAGAGCATATTCTAGATTTGTCATTTGGACGCCAGTTTGACTTGTCTTCACGACTAGAATAAAATGGGGATAATTATGAACCAAACTCTGCGTGCTATAGAGAACCGTACGCACATTGCAATGGCTCTAATGGGATATGCGAGCCTGGTGTAAAAAGGTGACAGGCAACAAAGTGTACGCGTGAGAAGGATATTTACCCTTGGCATGAGCTTTTCCTAAAAAAAACTTTTGCATCCTTTTTTTTGCACGCCGTCACATTTGTTACCAGGCTCAGCATTGTATTTGGTTGTTGAATCAATCGAAACTTTATGTGCTACGAAAATTTACTATTTGAGAACTCGCAGGTTTAGAAGGTTTTCGTTGCGACCGCGAGTGGCGAAGGGCTATATGCACGCGTTCCACTATGAGTGGCGGAACGGGTCTCTCGCTTGAAGGCCTGATCGCCGGATTCTCGACGTCACAGCGAAGCAGCAATCGGCCCGATTGTTCCTACCGTACTTAGCTATGTAGCTGTCTAAATGACTCGTAAAGCAAATTGTATAAATATGTTATTTTGTCGTGTAGTCTGCACAACCAGTTCGTCAGGCCACTTTCCAGGCCTGCGCATCTATTTTCGTTCAACAACGATTAATGTAAAATTCACTTACTATAGATGCG